CAAGGCCCTGAGTTCCATCCCTATCACTGAAGAAAAGAATTTCAAGGGCCGGGGATTTAGCTCAGTGGTTCTGCCACCCTCCTCACAAGGGCAATGTCCTAATCCTCCTGCCTCAGCCTCCTGAGTGCTGGGATGATAGGTGTGCACCACCATGCCTGGCATTTTCTTCTCTTCTTTTAAAAATACAAAATTAAGCCTGGTGTGGTGGCGCACGCCTGTCATCCTAATACCCTGGGAGGCTGAGGCAGGAAAATCGCAAGTTTCAGCCTAGTCTGGGCAACTTAGTGACTTAGTGAGACTCTGTCTCAAGGTAAAGGATAAATTTAAAAGGGCAGAGGATGCATCTCAGTGCAGAGGTCCTAGGTTCAACCCCCAGTACTGCAAAATACAAAACAAAAACAAGATCACAAAAAGCAATAGCTGTAACACTGTATTATTTGCTTTATAACCTGTATAGATATAAGATGTATGGCACAAAATAGGAGAAAAAGAACAGTGACGTAATGGAACAAAGCCTTCATATTTTACCAAAGTTAAGTGAATACTGATCTGAAGTAGATTGTGATTAGTTAAGATTTAATCTCTAGGGAAGCCACTAAGAAAATAACTCCAAAATACATACCTAAAAAAAAAAAAAAAAGAAAGAAAGAAAACTCAGGCCCAAAGATTTGAAGGCCCCGAAGCTGGTAATACTAAGCCAGAAAAAAAAAAAACATACCTAAAAGTCAAAAGAGGGCCATGTGTGGTGTTTCATGCCAGTCATCCCAGCACTTGGGAGGCTGAGGCAGGAGAATTGCTGTGAGTTCAAGGACAGGCTGAACTACATAAGAGAAACCTTGTCTCAAAACACCAAAAATTTAAAAAAAATAGAGGAAATAAAATGGTATGCTAAAACATTTAACACAAAAGAAAGTGGTCAGGAAGCACGAGGACAGCATGGCCATTCGCGCCTGTTAGGGCAGCACTCTGGGAGGCTGAGGCAGGAGGATCACATGTTTGAGTCCAGCCTGGGCAATGTAGTGACTTACTGAGACCTTGTCTAGATATCAATTTTTTGAACTGTGGTATTGAAATATCCAACTTTAAGTGAAACTGAATTGTCTCCTCTCAATTTCCTCACGAAATTGAGCGAAGATATGGAGCATCTGAATGACAGTTCAAACCTAGGTCACAACACAAGTCAAAGTGCACTAAGGAAAGGAGAGACAGAATCAATTAATTGAAATCTAAAAGTCTAGAGATTAAACAACACACTTATAAATAGCTCACAGTTCAATGAGAAATAATAGAAATTAGAAAAGACTTAAACTGGGATGTGGTGGTTCACGCCTGTCATCCCATAACTCAGGAGGCTGAGGCAGGAGGATCACTGTGAGTACAAGGCCAGCCTGGGCTACATAGTGAGACCCTGTCTCAAAAATAAATAAATAAATGCAAACACGAGAAGAAACAAAGATACAAAATCAGAATAGACTTGAAACAAGCACATGAATGGAATAATTGAAAATCTTACCATAACAAAAATCCAAGACCACACAGTTTTGCTGACAAATTCTAGCAAATAACTAATGTTGGGGATTTAGCTCAGTGGCGCCACCGCCTGCCTCCCAAGTACGAGGGCCCAAGTTCTATCCTCGGTACCAAAAAACTAAAGAAAAAATACTAATCTGTCACAAATTGTTTGAGACAGTAAAGAAGTAGGGACACTTTCCATCTCAGCATTACCCTCATTCCAAATATATCACAAGAAAGACTACATGCTGGGCTGGGGATTTAGCTCAGTGGTGCCACTGCCTGCCTCACAAGCCCAAGGTCCCAAGTTCCATCCCTGGGACCAGAAAAAAAAAAAAAAAGACAAAAAGAAAACCTACATACCAATACTTTTCATGGACACACACAAATTCTTAACACAATGCTTAAAAACCAAATCCATGGTATATGTCTATTGTTCCACCACTCAGGAGGCTGAGGCAGGAGGATGGTCACAAGTTTGAGAAAGTAGATTAGTAGTCGCCATGAGCTAAGGAAGGCTTGTGAGAAAGCCACTTCTTATGGTACTGGCTTTTCTTTCAGAATAATGAAAATATTCTGGAATTAAACAGTGGCGATGGTTGAAAAACTCTGCGAATATACACCAAAAAACCACTGAAATTTACATTTTAAGGGTATATTTTATACTGTGTGAATTGCATTTCAATGAAAAAACTTTTAAGTTTGAGAGGATCAGGGATGGAAAAAGATATAGCAGGTAAATAGTAACAAAAAAGTTATACCTGTACTATGACTGTTAGACAAGTAAACAAAAAGGCAAAAGCAATGCTATATACTAATGTCTGCTACTATGTTTGATAAGATAGTCAACCTACATGAAATATATAATAGTTGTCAACTCACATGCTCTTAATGACATAGCTTAAAATTACATAAGGCAGGGCTGGGGATTTAGCTCACTGGTTTTGTCACCTGCCTCGCAAGCAAAAAGTCCCAAGTTCAGTCCCAGGTTAAAAAAATTTGTTTTTACACAAAGCAACAGGTGAAAGAACCACAAGGACAAATTGGCCAAAAGCCCTTGGGCCTCTACTTAGGGAATGCCATGGGGTCAGGACCTGGCTCACAGGGCAGGGAGGACTGTCAGAGTCCTCGTGGGGTATGAGGGAGGAGAACTGGAGAAATGGATATGCAGATTTTGTATTTGTCAAGAGGGACCAGAGAGGGCCAAAAACATTGGAAATCACTTTTTTGGAGGGGAGGTGGGGAGACAAGATCTCAGGACATATTTTCTAGCTGGCCTTGAACTGGTGGAGATTCTCCTGCCTCAGCCTCCCCTCCCAAGTACTGGGATGACAGGTGTGTGCCACCACATCCAATTGGAAAGCACTCTTAAAGCAAAATTTTGATGTCATCTCTGTTCTGCTTGAAACCCTTCAGTGGCTCCTCGGTGCCCTCTTGGAAAGATCTTCCCATGCTATCTACAGTTACTTCCTCTCCCAACTCTCCTCAGTCAGCCGAACAAATTAGGGTTCTTCGTGATTTCTGAAACAATCATGAGACCTTGCCAGCCTGGGGTTTAGGGGTGCCCGGGGGGAAAGGTAGGTTCAGGTGGAGAACATGATCACCATGTACACAAACAGTGCCACGCAGGAAGGAGTGTGCAGCTTACGGTGCCAACTCAGCCACTGCCCGGCTTCTTCCCTGGGTTCCTGGCAGCACCTTGACTCCCTCATGGCCCACACCAGCCCCAATAACTGTGCTTCACAGGCACCCACATATCTCAAAGCCCTCACTTCTGAGCCACCCTGGTTCCCAGAGAATGAGACATGAAAGTGGACAAAGCACCTGCAAGGGCCACCCAAAAAAACAGGGCACTCTGCACTCCCAATTCCACACACCGTCCTCCTATCCTCATATCCCAGGCCACACCCCACCGGCACAGAGGCAGGCAGGAAGATGTTCAGCCCACTACAAGCTGTGTGGCCTCAGCCTTTTGCACCTGTTTCCCCATGCAGAAATGACGAGGTACCAATTGTTCATTCACAGATGAGGTTCAAATGAACCCATGCACAGACCCCAACAATGGGCAGCACATAGTAAGCGCTCACTAAAGTGTTGCCATTAGCATCTTCTGTCTTAGCAGGAGCCATTCCTAAGCATAAGCTGTAAGGCTGGCTGCAGATCTGCAAAGAAGGGGTAAGGAAAAATGGCTTTTCTCTATTTTCCTGCCCCTTGGGTACCTCTAACTTGCCACATCCAAGCTGATGTCACTACCTCTCCCCTGAAGCCACCCCACTTAAACCCTCCTTGGCAAACGGCTGCACTGTCCACCCAACCCTGCACCCTCACTCCCTGTCACCAAGGCATGAGCCTTTTTGGAGCCTCTGCCGCTGCTGCCCACCCTGCTCGGCCCAGGTCAGAGTTGCCTCTCAGTTCCCTGCCCACTCTGTGAGGTTGCACCGTGCTCCCAAGCACCTCACTCAAGTTCGGTGAGAACTCCGCACTGAATCCACTCCACAGCTCCCCTACACCACCAGCCACCAACTCTCTCCCACCCATGCATCACCACCTGGCAGTACTCAACCGGTGCTTTCTTGCTCCCAGGACTGCATACCAGCAGGTGACCCCAAGCTTTCTCCTCACAATCCCCCCCCCCGCCACTGCCCCAGGTGCTGAAAGGTCCAGAGGTGGCCACTGGCCGTCTAAAGATGTGGTTGTGGGGCCCTCTGCCGACGGGAGGCCAAACTGCAGAGACGGGGCAGCCCAGGGCTGGGGTGCTCTAGCCGTGTATCTGGCAGTCTTGGCATCCTGGTAAGACCACCCCTCCACAGCACCCCCCGGAGGGCATGCACCTCCTCCAATGCCGCCCGGTGCTTGCTCAGGGCCAGGCACATGATGGAGGTCCAACTGACTATGATCCAAGGGAAAGGCAGCAGGTGACCCAGGATAGGTTGCCAGGCTGTCGAGACCTGGCCCAGTGCGTATGGGGGGGGGGTTGGCCGGTCTGGCAGGACCAGGATATATGGGCCAAAATTGGACGCATGGGGTGGCCTGGGGGTGGCCAAGGGATGGAGGCAGAAGCGGAGGCCTCCAGACTTCTCCCGGGCTCAGGAAGGCATGGCAGAGTGCCAGGCACGGAGAGGCACTGTCCTACTTCCACATCAGGAGGACAGACAGGGCCATGGCTGCTCTCCCTAGGCTGCACTCCAGCCCCAGCCTGAGACCCAGGCAAGCTCCTTTGGTCCCTGAGTTTACTGCAGTGGGCCCTGGGGACCTGGGGCCAGTGTTGGCCATCGGGGAAGCAGCCCACAGGCCCCTGCCATAGCCCAAGGGCTGGACACAGTCAGAACTCTCAGGTGGCCAACCTGGTGGCTGGGTGGCCCCTTGTGGGTGCCTTTGAGAGGCAGGAAAAGGAAGCCCCAGGTTGAGTAAGATCCATTGTGGGCGTTTCCCCAGGTGATCCCAACACCACACCTGTCCTGCCCCAGCTCACCAGTGCCATTGCTCTGTCTGTCTTTATTGTTGGGGAAAAGCAGAGGAGCACGACACAAGCAAGCCCACCCACAGTCAGCGAAGCACAGGACGGCTGCAGGGGTGTGTGTGTGTGTGTGTGTGTGTGTGTGTGCGCGCGCGGGAGGGGTGGCCTCTGGAGCCTGCCTGCCAACGCTCCTTGGCGTCTAGAGGGGGCAATGAGCACAGGGGGCAGCCCCTGGCCCTGAGTGAGGCTGGGGGGCCCCACCCCTGTGCCTGCGCCATGCACTGCAGCCACACTTCTCCAACTCTGCAGCAGAGGCGACCCCAGGGATGAGGTGGGAGGAGCGGGGCTCAGTCATCTCGGTCTCGACATCTGCCTGGGATGTAAGGGGAGGAAAAGAAAGGCAGTCATTAGCCAGCAGCCTCAGCGCACTGCCTCTGTGGATTCTTGGTCTCAAAGTGGTTGTCGGGAGTGATGCTCACCCCGCCCCGCCCCAGACTGCAAGGGTCCCCACCCATCCTCCCCGTCCTTCTGCCTCTCCTGCCTGCTTAGCTCTTGGCCCCAGGGAGCACCACCACCCTCTAAGCCCTGCCCCACACACCTGGACATCACCACTTGGGGGGCTGGCCAGCCTGCGGGCCAGGGTGGCTGTGACTGCTCATGCCTGGCCGTGCAGCCTCCTCACTGTCTGGGTTCTGCCCCAGCTTACGGATGTGGCGCAGGAACGAGGTAGCATTGAATGCTCGCTGCAGGAAGAGAGAAGAATCAGCCACGCCACGCCCCAACGCAGCCCCAAGACCTGGAGGCCCACAGCGACAACCTGCTGACCTTCCAGTGGGTCCGGGCAAAGTTCCTCTGGATCTGCTCGCTGACGGAGCCCAGGATGTCTTTGTCCAAGGCCGCGTCCCCAGAGATCCTGGGGAAGGCTGGAGGTGAGGCAGGGCCTCCTGGCCCTGGGACGACTTGTGGGGCGGCACTCACCACAGGTGCTGCAAGGCCTGCTGGCACGTGAACCTCTTCTGGGGGTCTCTCTCCAGAAGGTGCCGGATGAAGTCTTTGGCTGCGTGGGGGGACCTGGTCAGCCCACCTGTCTCTACCCCCACCCCCACCCCACCCCCCGTGCACAAGGCTGGGGCCAGCCCTGGGCTCACCTGATTCAGAGATGTCATCCCAGAAGGGAGAGTCGAACTCGTAGCTGGCCCTCAGGATCTGGCTGAAGAGTTCGGGGTCGCTCTCATCGTAGAAAGGGGGATACCCACATAGCCTGGCACCCACAGATGAATCACCCGGCTGTCTAGCCCTCCCCAACCCAGTGGGTGCAGGCAGGCGGGAGTCGAGCCTTCACGGTGGTCACTCACAGGATGTAGGAGATGACACCCAGGGCCCACACATCCACAGCCTTCCCGTAGGGTTTCTGCTCCAAGAGCTCTGGAGCTGGGGGCCAGAGACAGACAGGCAGACATACGCACACGTGCACACACACACACACACACACACACCCCTGCCATGCCCCCGGTGTCAGCCTGTCCTGGCCCAGGAGTGGGCAACAGCCCCTCTGGCCCCTCGGCTGCCCAGGGTCCCCCACTGGCCTGGCTCCAGGCAGCCTTGGGGTGTGCTCCATGCTTACCCACGTATCCTGGGGTCCCACAGGCCGTGCCCAGCATGTTGCCAGCCTGGATCTTAGAGAGTCCAAAGTCAGAAACCATGATCTTGGAGTCCTCGAAAGGGGTCGCATAGAGGAGGTTTTCAGGCTGTGACACAAGGGGCCAGGGAATGGGCCGGGTCAGCCCTGGCGTGGCCCGGCACCGGGACAGGGTGGGCCTTGGGCGTCCTCCACAGAGGCGGCACTGGGGAAGGCACCTTGAGGTCTCGGTGCACGATGCCCAGGCTGTGCAGATAGGAGACAGCGCCGAGCACCTGCCCCACCAGGTGGCTGGCATCCTTCTCAGTGTAGGAGCCCCGCTCCATGATGCGGTCGAACAGCTCGCCACCTGTCACCCTGGGGAGAGTCGTGGTCAGCGACCACCACCCCGCCCATGCTCCCCCAGCACCGCCCAGCCCCGCGGGCTCCTCACAGCTCCATGGCCAGGTACAAGTGGGAGGGGCTCTCGTGGACATCCTCCAGGGCCACGATGTTGGGATGGCTGACCCTGTAGGCGTGACAGAGAGGCCCTGTGGCTACATGGGCCTGGACCTCCACAGGAGGCCTCCCCACATCTCCCCATTGGGCTTGCCATTCTGTTCTTTTTTTCTTTTTTTTCTTTCTTTTTTTTTTTTGGTACCAGGAATTAAACTCAGGACCTTGTGCTTGTGAGGCAGGCTGAACCACTGAGCTAAATCCCTGGCCCTGGCCTTGCCATTCTGTGCCCAAGGCCACCCCCGGCCACCCGGAATCCTACATCTTGTGAGGACACACAGCTTCAGAAACCCACTTGAAAAGCACAGGTACGCAGTGACTCTCTCACTTTGTCAGTGGGAAGGACACAGGGGACCAGGGAGGGAAAGGGACTGTCCCCAGGGCCCTGTGGGTCAGGGCCAGGGTGGGAGGACCACAGGGCTCACCCCCCCTCCCCAAAGTCCCCCACCCTGCGCGCCCACCTGCGGAGCACTGCGATCTCATTCTCCACCAGCGCCTCCTTGCCCCGCAGCGCCTTCTTGGGGATGCACTTGAGGGCCACGAGGTGTGCAGAGCCCCGCTCCTGGGCCAGGACCACCTCGGAGAAGGCGCCCCTGGCGCAGAGGCAGATGGGGAGGCATGGAGGGGGTGCAAATCCGAGAGCAAGGGGAGAGAGGATTAGAGAGGGGATGGGAGAGCAGGGAAGGGGAGAGCAGGAGAAGGCAGCACAGTGGAGGGCAGGGGAGGGGAGGGGAGGGTCCCTGGCTGAAGGAGTTGGAGAGGCCCCATAACCCCCACTCCAGCACACGCGGGCACGCGCTTGCACACACACTCACACCCACTGACACATTCAGACGCATTCACACACAAAACCCACGCACCTCAGTTCACTCGTGTCCGCACACAGACACCCCACACACCTCACATCCATGCACACATCGCACTTTCACACACACACACACTGCACTCACGAGCCCAGCTTCTCCCGGATCTCATAGATGCGGCTGATGTCCTCCGTCTGCTTCTTAAGCAGCAGCATGTCTGCGGGGGAAGTGGCAGGGCCCCTAGGTGAGGGCCGTCCCTCCGTCCTCCCTAGCCAGCAGTGCCTGGGCGCCCTGGCCACGGCCACCCTCGCC